ATGCTTACAGTAAATTGCGCCGTGCCCACCACAGAGTAAATAGGAAAAATACGGCGAGCACAATCGACGCGATTTTGCTGGCGTTAGTGTTGAATCCGCATGCAATCAAGCATGCACCAATTAGGGAAGAGCCGAGGTAGCCCGCTGGTAGAGTAAGCCATTGAACGCCGCCGGACATCCTCGTAGACCCTCCTTCATCCGCTGGCCACGATCAAGGATAAGGTTTTTGCGAGAAGGGGATGAGGAAGGAGATACATACGGTCAAGTTCGATGGAGTGTATCCGTGCACATGTAAGGACGCCCATAATCGCGTGGCTCATCTGCAAGACACGATCCCCCTAAGTTTCGGGGTCGTTCCGCAGTTGAATGGGTACCTACTTCATGGAACCCAACAGTCAAAAGCCTGCTTTGCATAAGATACGCGTAGAGTCAGTAGAAAGTGATACTCCTCACTTGAATGGGTATACTGGAGACTCAAGGCCTCAGCTGCTGCGCATCTTTTTTCCTAATGCCATTGTAACACTCACTAATCAACCTGAGGTACGGAACATGCCTGCGCATTCTCTCAAATAAGTTTCCCGAAAGTCTATAGGAGTGCACTGTAACATACCATAGTATCCCAATAACTAAGATATAAACACCAGCCACGATGAGGGTAATCTTCTGGGTATCGTTCGGAGTCACTCTGGCCTTGAAGTCCCGTGCATAGTACAGATGAGGGGAAGTTGCGAGAGGTGCATCGAGGTGGGGCATTTCAAGATCGTTCAGAGGTCGCGGTGGATAGAGCAAAGGAAGGGGGGATGGACGGGTAAAATGGAAGGAACGCGAATACATAGCATGAATCTTGAGCCAACTTCGCAGGTCGCCTATTTCGGCTGTGGCTGTGTCCCATGTTCAAGTTTCCGATCTCTCGGGTCATGACGTCCTCCGGTCCTTCTTATGGGCATGAACGCTCTAGTCGCGCATCGTCGAGTCGCGAGCGATATCGCTATAAGGACTCTAATCGCTATTGAAAAAAATGCTCACATCGATTCCTCCAAACATGGGCTCCAAAATTTGGAGAATTGACACAAGTCTCTCGTTGTCCGAAGGTGAGGAATCATTAATCATGCTCTAATCGAAAGTATTCTTTCGTCAACACACACGTAGACCTCATATCATTCAAGGTATCATGTATATATCCACGTGGACATCGAACTGGGTGTTCTGTTGATAGAAATTCTTCAAACGTAGTAGTGCGCCAATACTCGTCCGAACTGTATAAATCGAAAGGGAAGGGCGACGAATGACAGGGTGAGCAAATCATGTCCTTGCTTCCGTCTACCGTTCCTGAGGGCTCTGATTGTGGCAAAGAGACTCCATGCTCTTCCAAACCTCTGGACGATGGATAAAATTATTGGGATTATAAGGAATTTGAAGGGGCTGGCCACGCAATAGACTACATCGCATATCCTTCGGAGACAGAAAAGAAAGACAGGCTCCCATCAAGGTTGGCCGAAAGCAGAAAGGTTGGCCGAAAGCAGAGTCTCGAGGGTGCCAACAACTCAGAATGGCTGAGAATCAACCTTGGAAGTTAAGCCCTCCACCGCATGGGCCCACCCCTCCAACATTGCCATTACCCTGTGTACCACGAAACGCGATATACTGTCCATGGCCGGTCGGGCATTGGGCATTTGCATTCGGTCCGACGACGTTGTGGCCGTTGTAGCATCCGCTCCCCCTGAAGTAGAACCAGAGACCGCAATCGGATCCCCAGCACCTCTGGCAGCACGATTCTGCATCCGGGTCGGGGAAGAAGTTTAAGCTTCCTCCGTCACTACCACTGACACCACCACCATCCAGCGGCTGCGAACTGGCACAAGCGGTAGCAACTGCGTTCACTGTGGTGGTAGTAGTGGTAGTGGTAGTGGTAGTGGTAGTGGCGGTCTCCGTTGCAGGCACTTCGATAATCGTCGTGACAGTCGAGGTATCAGTCACCGTCTTGGGACCGACTGTGACCGTTGTCCTCTTGGTTGAAGTGGCGGTGAGAGTTGCCGTCGCCGTCTTAGTTATAGATACGATTTTGGTCTTGGGCGTGACGATATGACTGCATGCTGACGAGACCTTTTGCTCTGCAAATGGCAACCATTTCGGCAAGTGACCGTGACCGTCACCTCCCCTTTTCGCAAGATTCTGGACGGAAGCTGTGTGAAGGTAGGTGGTAGTTACAGTCGTCATAATGGTCCTATTATGGAATGAGAACAGGAGAATCAAGGGCAACATCACTGCTTACAGTGATGCAATGTCTGTCTTCGTGGTTGTAGCTGTGACGGAATGGGTCAATAATGCCTCCCAGAGAATTTAGAAGAACGACTGACCAGTGACAGTAGCGACAGTAGATGTAGTAGTTCCAGTGCTGGTAGTCGTCGTGGAGACAGTAGTGGTTCCAAGGTCGCTGGTCGACGTCGCGGTCGTTGTAGCAGTGGCCAGAGTCTTAGACGTGGTCCGAGTGCTGGTCTTCGTTGTGGTGGCGCCATACGGGACGATATGAAGCCATTCGGAACAAAATTGCTGCGCTTGATTTTTGAGCAGCGCTTCGATGACTGAATCGCCGTGATTCTGGTCATGATGCCACGGGTCATTATGACCACCTCGACCATGACCGTTATCCCATGAGCGGATGTCGCCCTTGTCCTCATGTCTGTCGTTGCCGTGACGCTTCGCTTGAGTTTCAGGTATCAGCACTCGCTTAGCACAGAAGAGGCTAATGACGCCTCACCGTTGGCAGAACCGGTTTCCTTCTCGTAGTGAATCCCAGTTTCGTCAAGGTAGACGAGCTTCCAGGGTCCAGTAGCAGGTTTTGACGCAACAAATATCGCGCATGCCAGAAGGCAAACGGGGAGGAGGAGTCGGGCTATGATCGACATGGATTGTGAACGGGGGGAGATCCAGAGAAGGCCTGAGGAAGCTGGCGAGGCCAAAAGTTATTCTGTAATCATTTCTTACCCTTGCTCAGCCAGACATCACACCAGGCACCGATTTTTAATCCGATCTCCGTTGAGCCTCGAGGTAGTAGGTACAACATGCGTCGGCACGACGTCCAGCCAACAAGCTAGGTCCCATACTCTTTAACGTCGCAATAAGGGTGACCCTTTTCCTCGAGGATATCTTGACGTAGCCGCAGAGCCCAGCGACCTAAGTTCTCAGTTAGCCAGCGCGCCAGCGATCGAGCTATGTACAAAGGGCAGAGAACATAAGACATAAAAGCTTCAACAAGGAACGGTCAACTCAGGCTCGAGGAAGGCACAGGTGTCAGGAAGGCACAAGGTCAATTCATCTTCAACTTGCTCGAATTATGTACTCATACGTAATCTATATCGGAATATACCGTCAACCAACTGAGTGCAAGTTGCCCTCCACACCAACCAAACACTGGCAACCATGAATGTACGCCCCTCACGTATTCTTTCCTGCCTTCGCCACATATATTCTGACTCTGGAATGAAGATATCTTTGGTTCAAGGCAGATACTGTAATTTCAATATCGCAAACGCCTTGTGAAGAACAGAACAACCTTCTGAACGTTCAGGCACACATCCCTACCAGTGGGTCGGAGGCATGAACTTGCCGAGATTCATTCACCCTCAGATATCAACGAAGATGTCTCCCTATAGCCTCCGTTAGAAGGTCTATTAGCTCTTTCTCGAGTATGCGACCCAAATCGGTTTTTCTATGGCTAGTCCCCGGTCCACTCAAGCCTAAGGCTCGCACTCAGGATGCAACCCTGCTACTTACTACGTACGAACGAGGCCGGCAGGGTTGGCGACCTATGTACATAATTGTAGGAGGTCTGAACTCATCTATCATTGGAGGCGGTGGTCCTCAAGTCAACCACTGGTCATTACCTTGGTGTCGTTAAGGATACGCTCAGGAGAATCTAGGCCAACTTTGGGCCTATTGTCGACGTTGAATCAATTTCAAAGCCGCTATCCTGGATTTTCTTTCCAGGCAATCGCTCTGAATCGATGGGCCAGCCTATATCGATTTGGCCCTCCTGTCGGAGGCGAGTAAAACAGCTATGCTCTGGACGGCTTCGAGCTCCAGAGAGAAGTAGTATCTGTAACATGCGCCGTTCACATGTAATCTCTTTTTTTCTACTTCTGGATGCGCCGTCTGACCCTCTTCACTGGCCTGTTGAGCACTTAGCGTCGATCTGATAGCCAAGCAAGGTTCGTTTCTCTCCCAAATTTCTAGCGCCAAATTGACATGCCTTGGTTACAGTGTTTCATTCGGTGTTCATCTACTTCTGGATCATACCGGGCTTTCTTTCCCATCGAAATCCCTCAGTCGTCGCAACCTACAGTCACCTCTCATGGCTCAGGACAGCCAAGGGCCATTTTTCATATTCAATCCCCCATGTGGTCTGGGCGTGCCCGCCTGCCCCTCCTTTCCGATGCGGAGCGGGAGCAGGGGCATAACCACGCCAAACCCATTTTTGGCGAGCCAATGGAAGAATTGGTCGCCAGTGATACTCGTCAAGGATTTCAGCGAGCTACATGAAATACGTTGTACCCTTCCAGCTTCGTTCAATTCGCTCTCAGATGACTCGTGGACGGAAATGTGGCGCGGATTTACAGCGATTTCATATTCGGCACTAGGCACGCAGATAATGATATCAATCTCTTCATCGATTATCCTCGCCCGGTCTTTGACGTCTCTACATGCTTCAATTTCTTGCTCCCGGGATGTTCCTGACACTGATTCGGAAAACGTGCTCAAACGTCGAGCCCGGCCGGGAGTTTAAGGTATAGAGACTGCCAGAGCCTTGCTTCGACATGCCTGTGTTGTAGATACATAACGGCGCCCTACTTGAAGAAGTCTTAGCCAGATCAAGGGTATGCTAGCTACGGTGCCTCTGATCTAAAGTAAGATTAAAGCGTAGGGTAGAACCAGCTGTGGAAGTAGTACAACTTGTCGATGCACATTGAGTTATGTTAAGGTTTGCCTGACAAATTCTGTCGTCTTTGCTAGTATATCGGTTAGTACACGCGCTTGTCATGCGAGTGACTGGCACACTTCGTGCACTCGCGCGAAAGCTGGGTTCGACTCCCAGGCAGAGAGTTTTTTCTTTTTCTTTTGGCACCGCCATGCTTTTACCTACCCTAGGGCCTAGATACTTTGTGCAGCATGGGACAACCAAGCCATAGTCCTACTTTCCAGCGGCGACTATTAAGTGACATCTGACCCTCGGAGCCCCTGGGCACGCGCCCCGATTCCAAGCTAAAACAACCAGTAAACAAACACCTGGCTGAAAGGCGCTCGCATTCCAGGAGGAAGTAACAAATGCATACGACTCCGGTATGTGTGGCCACTGGCCATTTGGCAGGCCTCTGATGATGATGATCATCTCATTTATACAGATGTGAGTCTCAGGGGTCAGACATGAGATGGACTACAGTACGTGTTCCTCGGAGTGCGGATACCGTGGTCATTAGAATTGTCAGGCCAGTGTAAGAAACAGTGTAATCACGATCTTTTCTTGACGTCAGTGTGCGACGACCTATCGAAGTCATAGTGCGAGAGAAGCCAGATCAACGGTCTGCTAGCTATGTTGCCTATGATCTGTAGAAAAATATAAAGCGTAGGGTATGTAGAACCAGCGTGGAAGTAGTACAACTGTTTAAATTGATGTTTGCCCGACCAATTCCGTCGTCTTTGCTAGTATATCGGTTAGTACACGCGCTTGTCATATGGTTACACGCTGTGTAATGTTGCCGCGCGAAAGCTGGGTTCGACTCCCAGGCAGAGAGTTTTTTCTTGTTCTTTTGGCACCGCCATGCTATCCCCTACCCTAGACATATTGTGCAGCCGGGGACAACACAAGCCATATTCCTACTTTCCAGCCGTGAGTATTAAGTGAGATTTGACCCCCGGAGCCTGTGGGCACGCCAGAGTCTACCCCTGTTCCAAGCTAGGACAACCAGCAAGCACCTGGCTGGATTAACCCTTGACTCCATCAGATACATGGAGGCACTGCGAGGCAAGGATTGGTCCAATCGATATATTTCAGCCTGTTTATTATATTGAAAAGATCTACAAGATAAGGCATGGTATAACTCGTCAAGATGGTATCAAAAAAGCAGCAGCATAGCATATAAACAAGTCAAGAAAACCGCCACCATCCAAAACGGCCTACCACCCTGACACGTCTCTTTAACCCTGCGTAACCCACCCATCAAGATCCCTCATCACCCCATTGATCCCCACCACCTCCAACCTCGGACATCTTTTGAAGATGGCGCTTATATACGCCAACCTCTCCCCAGGCTCCGTCGGCCCGTCCTGGGAGGGCGAGCGCATCACCACCTCCTTCAGGGCGGGGAACAGCCCCATCCACCTCGGGAGCCGCGCGACGACCTCGGTTGGGAGGCGATACTGTGCGATGTGCAGGTCGAGCCGCGAGATGTACTGCATGAGCGCGATGAGGCGGGTATCGGGCGCGACATCGAGCAGCATCCAGTCGTCGGAGCTGGATTCGAAGGAGAGCTCGAGAGTGAGCTCGACGCGTGAGGGCCCGAGGAGCCGGGGCACGATGGGTAGGAGGGTGTTGTTCATAATTCCGAAATCGAAATGGCGCCCATGGTGGACACGTGTGATTATGGAGAGCTCCTTGAGTGCCGGGAGGGAGCTGTTCAGTGTGAGGAGGTGGTTTAGGTAGGCTGGAGCCGCTGAGAGGTGTGTTGCGTTACGGAGAAAGTCGCTCGGTGGCAAATCTTCTGACGGAGGCTCACGAAGGCTGCGGCCGAGGTAAAGGCGCTGAACGTGGGGGTGCCGCTGCAGGAAGACACTAAGTTCGGGATATCTTATGGAGCACAAGTCGATGGACAGGGCGGAGAGGAGGGGTAGGGCAATAGACGGCAGAATGATGGCCCACGCCTCTGGGTGTATATCGAGGTTTCTCAAGGATAGTGTGGAAATACTTGATGTATTGAGCGTTCGTATGGTCCACGTGCAGAGCTCGGCCTGCAATAGCATGGCTGAGTGAAGGTTGAAGGTCTCAAGGAGCCCGGCCATACGAGGCCTCGTCGTTGCTTCCTTTCCCTTCCCCAAGAGATTCCGGATTCCACTGGCCAGGCAGCCCATCACAGAATTCTCGCGAAAACACCAAGAAAAGCGCCCGGCACTCGGTATAAAGGATGCCAACTCTTCTGGGCACGAGAATGTGCCCCATCCCGAGAGGCACACAGTCAGAGTCGTACACCCTTTCGCAAGGATCGCATCAAGGAGCACCTGGAACTCCATCGCCCAGTCCACATCCACCCCCTCCATCTCCGCGTCCCCCGTCGCTTCGGCAACCCGCTCCCGCCAATCCGCATCTACCGATATACGGTCCCGATTTCCAAAACGGCGTAAGTTCGTGAAGTCCAGATGCGTCTCGTGTAGGACCTCCAAGCGCTCCACCAACCGTACGAGGCCGCGCACGTACTTGAGGACCGGGCGCTCAAAGTTGAACGTGCACCATACGCATTTAAGTGTGGGGCGGAAGAGAGCGATCGAGAGCGCTTGCAGCACGTCTTCGGAGCGCTCGTCGAAAAGCACGAGCTCGCCTGTGAATGGGCTCATGCCCTTGTGCGCAAGGTAGATCGGGAGGGCGAGGTGGTGGAGACGCCGCGAGAGCTGCGCGAGTGTGTAAAGGTCATCCTCTATATGCTCGAATATGGAGAGGAGGATTTCGTTTGGGAGGTCCAGGAGCACAAGGGGTGCAGTGCGACAGATTGGTTTGAATTCAGTTCTCGAGGGCTCCTTGGATTCAACCACCCAGAGTATAGCTAAAAGCTCATCTATGAAGTTTCTGTCGATCGCGACGACGGGCTTCGTGGTAGCCAAATTGTGGTGGTGTACATCCTGAGTGGTCATGAACGCGAGCAGGTTCCGGGAAACTTGAGACTTACCATGATACCCTGATCGTCAGTATAACTGGGCGCTCCTGTGAAAAGGAAGCAGACCTCGAGTCCACCCCATAATCGCCGTAACACCAATTAAGACGTCAACGGAAGCCGAAGAGGCGCTTCAAGTTTAAATTGTTGACTGGGCTTTGGGCTCCAAGACTGTGCCTCCGCGCCAACACACCCCGGTATCCATCTCATCACGTTTACCAAGTTGGGGCGTTAGAATGGTATATATACAGCCAAATGTGTATGGTTCCGAATCGAAGTATGAACAAAAAAAGGATATTACAGTATGTAGAGAGTGAGGAGAAGAGGAAGAACGTGATGTATACCTACATACACCCCAAGACATGTCCCGCAGATGCGCTGCAACTTGGAAAACCCGCAACATCGCCTCTTAGCCTACAACTCCAAGTGCTTAGCAGCACTTGCCTCCTTGGTTGGCGTTCGAATCCACGCTATGTCCCACGCTGATGCTCTCCTTGGGCGGCTCGATGTTCGTGGTCGAAGATTCCAGCGATTTGCTGGATACGATGCGGTAGATATCTGGCAAATCAGGCTTAGCAAAGACCGCAGATAGATAGAAGCACTGCGAGCATACCGGTAAGAATGGTCTGGAAAGCTCCTTCGACATTAGAGGCGTCCAGCGCCGATGTCTCAATGAATGAAAGCCCGTTCTCAGCTACAATAACGCCATCTGATCAGAATCGCCTTGTGGACCAAAAAGAATCTGAAACGCACTCGAAAACGCCTTTGCCTCCTCAGTTGGCACAGCCCGCAGGTGCTTCAAATCGCTCTTGTTGCCGACAAGCATGATGACGATGTTCGAGTCGGCGTGGTCCCTCAGCTCTTTCAACCACCGTGTGACGTTGACATAGGTTGCGTGTTTCGCAATGTCGTATACAAGCAGTGCGCCGACTGCACCCCGGTAATATCTGGATACAATCCGACAGTCAATAACGCTCCGAGCGTAGTCAGTCCCAGGGGTGTACTGACGCTGATGTGATGGCGCGGTACCGCTCCTGACCAGCTGAAAGGAGGAGAATGTTAGTAAGGTTAAGCTAGACAAGGGTGAGCCTTGGAGCATATGGCGGCTTACCTGTGTCCCAAATCTGCGCCTTTACTGTCTTTCCGTCAACGTTAATTGACCTTGTCGCAAATTCGACGCCAATCGTCGACTTGGACTCGAGGTTGAATTCATTACGTGTGAATCGCGAGAGCACTGCAGCAGGTCAGTGAACACGCCCTGGGCCGAATAGCGCTAGGACTCACAATTGCTAAAAGATAATCAGGTCAGCCGGCTTATCTTGAATCAAAGAGGATGAAAACGCACGATTTTCCGACGCCAGAGTCACCAATAAGAACGACCTGTATGGCCTCATATTAATCCCGCCCTTCTGCCATGAGCAACAGCTGGCATACCTTGAAGAGATAATCGTAGTTGCTCCCTTCAGTCATATTTGCTCGTGGATTGGGTGGTTTGTATCGGGGATGGCGAGGGATGTATTGAGAGTTGCGATGTTTCGTCTCAAACCTCTGATGAACCGAGGTCTGGTGCGGAGTTTGAAATCCCTTGGTGGTCCGCCGGGTATACATTGATTGCTCCTCCTCCTCCTCCTCCTCCTCAAACACGCCCTTTAAACACGAACCTCTAACGGTATCGCAGTAATCCTCCTGCTATGCTGTGTATACGGCAACCACCCTTTGTATTCTACCATGGAGCTGTAGCCCACCACACCTAACCAGACCTTGGCGACTGCCATTTATCGAGTCGTGTCATAGGCTTACACCGCATCTTGTGCCAATTTTCTCCACCAGCTTACTGCGGCTGCGGATCATTTTAGGTGTTCTGGCGCGTCAATCAGTCCTCGTTTCTCAACGAACTCCGTCGCGTTGTGCTTCTTTACCATGGGACCATGAGCGGGCCTTTCGGGCCGCTGCCTTTTAAACTTCTGAGGTGCAGGAGACATTCGAACTGTGAACTCACCCACGACGATTGAGTCGTCCCCACTCCAATGTCCAAGCGTGTCTGTCAAATAATCAAGGTCCGTTGTCATTTTGTCGATGTCGGTCATCCGTCATATCCTGACAGTTCTTCCCAGCTCAAGCCTGCCGCGGAGGCAGCCTATAAAGAGATCCATGCCGCAGTCTGGCCGGCCGTCCTTGCTGCGCTGGAGCGTGCGCACATCATCGATTATTCGATTCACCACTATCCACCTCTCCAGCTTCTGATTGCGACGTTCAAATATGTTGGAGACGACTATGAAGGAGATATGAAGAAAGTCGCGGAGGATCCCGAGACGCAAAGGTGGTGGAAGGTCACCGATGGGATGCAGGAGAGTTTCGAAGAGGGTGCCGAAGGAAGCGGGAAGGATACGCCTTGGTGGACGGTACGCATGCAATACTATATTGAAGGAAGCTATATCTGATCCTTCGACTACAGGAACTGGAAGAGGTCTTCAGGTTCGAAGGGAAAGCATAGTTTACCGTTTCGGGTTGTGTCGACAAGGTACTTTCTGAAAAGAACGACCATTTAAAGCCCTTTTCTTGGGTTTCTTGGACACGTCCAGAAAACCATCCTCACTCACAACAAATGTTTGGCCATTCATAACTTGTTGACTCCAAAAACTTTTACTTAATCAAGTGGATGAAGTGCGACGACGATCTTAGTCGTCGCAGCGTGCATGGACGAATGTTTCTTCCGCCCATAGGGCACCCGCCAGTCACTACCCCCGCCCATGCTCCTTTCGAACCTATGACGGTGATTTGGTAAATCCGCCTGCTGCGGTAGCTGCCTGAGAATCTTCGATCCTCAGATGCTGGTCTGTACCGCTTACCTTGGTGTCACTGTCTCTGCGCAA